ACCAGTCCTTTAGTCATTTTTCCTGTGTATCAAGAAATAATTATTCTTCTTTCTAAGTCAGTAACCTCATTAAGCACTCTTTCCTTAAGGAAACCCAATTCTTAAATTTATCAAATGTAAGTGACAACCCATAAAATTTATTGGTAAAAAAATAACTTTGGAATCCATTAGTAATTCACCAGGGGCAAGAAAAGCAAGTTTAAAATTATGTTGGTAGAACTGTTCTAAGTCACATGTCCCTTAGATAATTCTCTTGCTGCAACAGGCACCACCTACTTCTTGGACTTCAACATGAAAAGAATGTCACGAAAGCACTTGACCCATCCCAAAATGTGCCTTTTCCTTCTGGAATCAGTGAAGAATGTCTGTTTCCTGATAGTCATCTTGGTTACTCCATTGTGGAATCTCAGAGGACTAGGCAGGAAGAGCTATCTTCATTTTGGTTCTCTGAGATACTGAGAAAGACATCAGGAACAAGGCTCAATCTACAGAATTTCCTACCTCTTTAAACACCCAGGTTATATCACTGATTTTTTTTCTGTACAACAGCAACCCAGTCAAGAGAGAAACATGCCACACAGATGCCACACAGTATTCTTCCAAGAAAGGGCACAAGGTGTAAATTCTTCCCTCAGGCAGTGGGAAGGACCTTTCTTACTAGTAAGAAGATGTGGACTCTGAAAATGCCTTCAGACTGATGCCTTCTAATTAACAGTGATGTCAGCTCGAGCAAAGCAGGGAGCAGGGCAAGGGTCTTAGCAAGGAGGCCTTACTCTACATAATGCTATTCTGTACCACATTTTGGGACACGTTTGACGTTATGAGTAGCTATTCATAATTATTAGTTTTTCATTACTTTTTTCTACCTTTTAGAGTTCACATATCTTTTTAAAAAATTAATTTTAATTGAAAGACAGTTGCTTTACCATATGCTGTTGAGTTCTACCATAGAATAATGTGGATCAGCTTTAAGTACACATATATTTCCTCTCCCTTGTGTCTCCCTTTCACCCTACTCCTCCAACTCACCTCTCTAGGCCATCACAGAGCACCAAGCTGAGCTTCTTGTACTATATAGCAAATTTTCATCAGCCATCTCTTCTACACATGGCAATGTATATATTTCAATGGAACTTTCTCAGTTTATCCCACCCTCTCCTTCCTCTGCTGTGTTCACAGATATGTTCTCTCTGTTTTCATTTCTATTCTTACCATGCAAATAGGTTCATCATTGTCATTTTTATAGATTCCATTTATATGTGTTAATATATGATCTTTATTTTACACTTTCTGACATACTTCACTATGTATAACAGCTCTAAGTTTACCCAACTCAGTTCAACTGACTTAGATTCTTTTCTTTAAATGGGTGAGTGATATTCCATTGTATATATGTACCACAACTCCTTTATCCATTCATCTGTCAATGGATATCTAGGTTGCTTCCATGTCCTGCTATTGTAAATAGTGCTGCAATGAACATTGGGGTACATGTGTCTTTTTGAATTATGGTTTTCTCAGGGCATATGCAGGCTTCACTGGTAGCTCAGACAGTAAAGTGTCTGTCTGTAATGCAGGAGACCCGAGTACAATCTCTGGGTTGTGAAGATCCCCTGGAGAAGGAAATGGCAGCCCACTCCAGTACTCCCCCATACATGGAATTTTCTAGGCAAGAGTACTGGAGTGGGTTGCCATTTCCTTCTCCAGGGGATCTTCCCGACCAGGGGATCGAATCTGAGTCTCCTGCATTGCAGGCAAACACTTTACCTTCTGAGCCACCAGAGAATCCCTATATAAGTTTGATGTGGTAAGCAGATCTCTTGAACTGATTGACCTTCCAGGACTGAAATTTTGTACCTATTTATTAGGTTAATTGTTGATTAAACACCTTGTTTTCTTTCCCCTCAGTTCCTGGCAACTACTATTCTATTCTTCACTTCCATGAGTTTGACTGTTTCCAATCTCCTTTATATAAGGAGATTCATGCAGTATTTGTCCTTCTGTGTCTGGCTTATTTCCCTTGGCACAATGTCTTCCAGGTTGATCTATCTTGTCTCATATGACAGGATTTCCTTCTTTTTAAGGAGGAATAATAATACATTGAATGTATACAGTAGAGGATATTTATCCATTCATCTGTTGATGGATGTTTAAGTTGTAACCACATTTTGTCTACAGTGGGTACTGCTGCAGTGAACTTGGAAGTTCTAATATGTCTTTGAGATCCTTATTTAAATTTTCCTATATAAATACACAGATTTGAAATGGGTGAATCATATGGCAGCACTTTTTTCTCTTTTTAAATTTTTGATTAACCTTCATATTTTTCATAGTGGTCACACCAGTTTGCCATCCCACTAACAGGTTCGAGGATTAATTTTTCTCCACAACCACACCAATATTTATCATTTTTTTTGTGTGTGTTTTTGATTATAGTTACTCTAATGGGTGTGAAGTGACATGTCATTGTGGTTTTGATTTGCATTTCCCTGTTGATCAGTAATGATATTAAGCTCCTTTTCATGTACCTATGGTTATTTATATGTCATCTTTAAAGAGAATTCAAGTCCATTGCCTATTCAAGATTAAAGTTGTTAAATTTTCTTTGTTATTATGTTGTAGAAGTTTCTTATGTAGTTTGGAAATTAACCCCTTATTAGATATATGGTAGCTCATATTTACTTAAGATTTACTATGCACTGTGCCTTATATTAGGCATTTTGTTGCATTCATAGGAAAATTTTGAGGCAGGTATAGTTTATCTCTAATTAACATCTGTATAATATACTGATCTTCAAGCAGACTGGGAAATATTTAGTGTCACAAAGTACTGGTGTGTATGGATGTCTGCATAGCCAAGGCACTCAAGCCTTCCCCTGGAAGGCACAGTGAATAATATTAGCTGAAATGCTACTGTAGTTTTACAAATTATACTAATAATTATCAATGGGTTCTATGTCACCCATATTTTATTTATTTAAGAAAAAATACCTATGGATTGAATGGCTGAATTGGTGATTCACTGAGGTTCATTCCCTGAGTATACCAAGAAAGTCTAAAAACACACTAAATGTTATTTAAAATAAAGGACCTGATAGAGTCAATTGAATTACTGTTGTAGGGGAAAGAAGCACAAGATATTTAGGAATCAATAATGGAAAAACTTCTAAAAAGGATATAGCCTAGACACTGAGTCCATTTTGAAGATAATGAGAGGAAAGGAATTTGGGTTCCTAGTAGACCACAAGTGACATGTATCATGGGCTGCAGAGATCAGATCAGTGTATAAATCTGTAAAAGTAGAGCTTCACAAAGTGGCCACAGCCTTATTTATGATTTATGACCTAGAAAACTGAGGGATCATGTTGTCCTCTTCAACTAACATATGGAGCCATGTGAAAACACACCTGGCATGAGAATGTTTGCACTGGATAATCAAGATAGACTTTGTGGTTGAGTTTAAGTCACTTAATTATCAAGTAAAGCCCAGAGACCAGTAGGATATGGTACAAGGGGAAATTAGAAAAAAATGTGTGTATGGGTTAAGGTATGTCCTGTTAGCAAACCTTGGTTTCTACCATCAAAGGAAATGAAGGCAAGTGCTGGCAGGTGAAATGGAGTGGAGTGATGAATTTTATATACCAGATGCTTGGAGGGCTGGGGAGAGGGGGAAGTACCAAATCTGACAATGGACGAGGAGCACCATTGTCAAAGAATGCCTCATGTTTCCTGACTGGTACATGACATTGGCCAAGGAAGTATGTGACAAAGTATTGAGTGAATCATTCTATACTTTCTCAGTGGAGGGTAAGGAAGTCCATGGACAAGAGAGCTTTGTGATACCAGCATGAGTGTGGAAAGTTACTTTTGAGATTGGAAGCATGTAGTATTTAGGGTGGGAAACAAGTGCATTATGAGAGTGCTAGGCTGTTCCCCTGGGTGGAGTTGTCTGATCCTGATAAAAGAAGTTTCCACCACAGTGTTGTTAGCTTTGTGATACTCAGTCATAGGTCTTCTTTGGAGCCTCTGGTGAGTACAACTCTTAGAGGTCTTTTTGGCACTTGGCTGGCAGAGTTTCATCTGAGGGTAGAAATGACTTTATTTAACCATTTAGTGCTCTCTATAGGGTGGCTCAGATGGTAAAGCATCTGTCTACTATGCGGGAGACCCAGGTTCGATTCCTGGGTGGGGAAGATCTCCTGGAGAAGGAAATGGCAACCCACTCCAGTATTCTTGCCTGGAAAATCCCATGGATGGGGGAACCTGATAGGCTACTGTCCATGGGGTTGCATAGAGTCGTACACAACCGAGCGACTTCACTCACTTCACTTATGGGAAAAAGAAGATAATGTGTTTTAAGAACATATTTTGTTATTTGGTCTTGAATGTCATCTTGAATGTGATGAGAGAATTGGAATCAGAAGCACAATCTTCACCTGAGGGAGAATAAGTGAGATGAGATGCTGGGCTGTAGCATATCCTACATTAGTTCCAAGTGCATCATTCTCAGCATTCAATCCCACTGAATATTAGATTTGGGCCTTTGCATTTCTCCTCAGAAACCAACAGTCAAGTCAGTTAGACCAGCAATCAAGACCTCATGGGAGATATAAGTAGAGATTTATTTTGAGATTGGCTACAATTTTAACATCCAAATTCTTCTTCTTCAGACTGTATTTGTACTGACACAAGACTTGTGTAGGTAATTTTGTCTTTAGAAAGTGGTAGGATGAGAGATTAACCAGAAAAGACTGAAGGTCTGAGGGCAAGAGGTGCTGAAAATGAAGGGTAAAGAAGCTACAAAAAACCACAAGGACTATGTTAGGGGTCACAAAGGGTTCTTGGAAATGGGAGGGTTGTTGGCTCAGCTAACTCTTCTACTTACTAGTAGGACTCTCTGTTATGAACGGTGTTGTCTGTTTGTATTTCAGATTCCTTAAGACCCAGGAAGGATGTCTCACCACCAGCATCCTCATCCGCATCCGCATCCGCAGCAGCAGCATCACCATAAGGTCAAGGAGCCCTGCCATCCTCCTCCAAAAGTGTGCCCACAGAAGTCCCATGAGCCTTGCCCACCTCATCCATGCCCACCTCCAGTGAGCCAGCAGAAATGCCCTCCTGGGCCACCACGCCCACCATGGGAGCTGAAGTGTCCACCCAAGTGGAAGTAACAGCACCAAGATCCAGGCTCTTCCATTGTCCTCCCTTCGGCCATGGTGATGGACTGCATCTTCCTTAATCTCCCTCCTGGACTGACAGATGACAGACAGAAGGCTTGGTTCCTGAAGCTGACACCATGTGGTTGGAAGAAGAGCAGCAGGATCATTGCCTGATATCTCTTTGCTATGTGCTTGTCTGCCAGGTTGTGATCTCTACCCTGTGAGCACTTAGTGTGACTATTCCTTTGCCTCTCCAATAAAGCACATTCATACTTGAACCCATATTTCTTTCTTTTTTTGTGTGTATAATGTTTTTAATCTCTTCTGTCAACTACAAGTATTCTTCTGAGTGTTCCTTTCCATTCCCACTGGATTATCAGAATTAGACTTTTCCATCACTGAGTTCAGTTTTACCTTAAATATGTCTTTTGGACTGGATACATCAAAGAATTTTTTTTTATTGGTTTCAAACCCATCTCTATCTCTTCCTACCTTGTAAGACCTTGAAAAGAATTGAATTTCTTCAGGCTTGGTTTCCTTATCTGTAAAAAATTAGGGAAGAATATATTCAACTTAGTGTACTCATAGAAATTAATTTATTTGCAAATGTTTCCCAATTATTAACACATGTCAGGCAGTCTCTCATGTGCTAGGAACATGAGGATGGTGACCAAAGTCCTTGTCTAAATTCTTGAGTGGATTTTACAAGCACACACACACATGTAAGACAAATAATAGTGATGCATGGGTATATGTTAGAGACAGTTGTTTAGAAAAGCTCTTCCAAAGTGGTTTTATGTGCAAAACATTGAGTGAAAAGAAGAGTGAGCTGTGAGTGTATCTGGGGTACATTGTACCATGAGAGGAGATGGCAAGTGCTAAGGCAGAGGAAAGGAACTGCAGAGAGAACAGTGATCAAGGAGACATGGTCCCCAGTGGGGTCAGACACATTGGATCTCAAAGATGTGGTAAATGTTTTGAAAATTTGTTTACAGTTTGACAGCCATATTATGCTGATGGCCAAAGGAATCAAATTTTGTATTTATATGTGTGCATGCTAAGTTGCTCCAGTCATATCTGACACTTTGCAATCCTATGGACTGTAGCCCACCAGGCTTTTCTGTCCATGGGATTCTCCAGGCAAGAATACAATCAGTAGTGGGTTGCCGTGCCCTGCTCCAGGGGATCATCCTGACTTAGGGATCGAACCTACATCTCTTGTGTCTCCAGCACTAGCAGATGGGTTCTTTACAACCAGTGCCACCTGGGAAGCCCTTTTTATCTATATACTTCTCAACTATCCCACATAATTTCTTTTAACTGAAAGTATATAAGCTCTTAAAGACATTTTTTAAAAAGTCAGAAGTACTAAAGAATAAATTTAAAGGGCTTCCCAGGTGGAGCTAGAGGTAAAGAACCTGCCCGCCAATGCAGGAGACATAAGAGATGTGGGTTTGATCCCTGGGGTTGGGGAGATCCCCTGGAGGAGAGCATTGTAACCCACTCCAGTATTCCTGCCTGGAGAATTCCTTGGACAGAGGAGCCTGGTGGGCTACAGTCCAGAGAGTTGAAAAGAGTCAGATGCTAAGTCACTTCAGTCATATCTGACTCTTTGCAACCCTATGGACTGTAGCCCACCAGGCTTTTCTGTCCATGGGATTCTCCAGGCAAGAATACAACTGGTAGTCTGCTCCAAGGGATCATCCTGACCTAGGGATTGAACCTGAATCTCTTATGGCCCTAGCACTAGCAGATGGGTTCTTTACCACTAGTGCCACCTGGGAAGCCTTTTTAATCTATATAATTCTCAACTATCCCATATAATTTATTTTAACTAAAAGTATATACGGTCTTAAAGACGTTTTCCAAAAGATCAAAACTATTGAAGAATAAATTTAAAACTCCTTTGCCAAATGAAAATTTATTTTGTGGCCATGACTATATGAGAAGTAAATCTATTATTAATAGTTTTCCCATCCTATAGTGAAATTGACTCCATTAATTTCTATTACCTTATAGGTAACAAGAAAAATGTGTAGAGAATTTCACTCTTGTTGTGTCTCCAACACTAAAAAGAATTGATTCTTTATTTAAGAGGGTTGACTTTGCACTCTTGGAAAGGGCTCTGGACTAATATTATTGTTGACAGATTCTCTCTCCACTTTTGTCTCAAAGTAAAACAAAAATATAAGCCCTTTGATTTTAGGAGAACAGGATCAACACACTCAGAAAGTTCATAAACTTTTGCTGTATAAAGTGGATAATTATAAATTGATCACTCTCTTATAGTCAAGAAACTCAAAATCAAGAAAAATAACATTATCAACCCTTCAAAAGACCGAGGTTTCCTTATTAGATTACATCCCATATGTTCTCCACTAGAAATAACCACAATCCTAACTCCTAATTATCACTTTCTTGTTTTTCTTTGTGTTTTTTATCCACCAGTATAGAAGTATCTCTAAAAATTATAGTTAATTTACTAGCTTTTTAGCTTTATATAAATGGGATTATACTGCATTCCATCTTTTTTTCTCTCTTCTTTCAACTGACAGTATATAGTTTTAATTCGTTCACTGGTTTGTCTTAGTATATTGTTGTATGGCTATATAACACTTCATTTCTCTCTTTGTTCTACTCTTATTGACCTTTAAGTTGTTCCCTATTTGGAGCTGTTAGGAACACTGTGATGTCTTCTTCATGCCAGCCGCACATGCTTACACATTTCTCTAGGGTATGTTCCCCAAAGTACATGAATCTTCTGCTTTGACAATTAATGCTCAACTGTTTTCCAACATTGTTGCACCAATTCAAACCCTCTGACAGGAGTGTAATGTATTTCCTGATTATCCTATCTCTTTAAATTAGTTGATCATTTTCATACTTCTGAAAGTTTTGCCCATCTGTTGAACAGTAGTTGTAGTGATCTTTTTTTGCATTTTGTGTAAAGTCTTTACTAAGTATTAATAACTTTCAGAAGCTCTAAAATACTTTTATTAGCTGTTTGGAAGCCTCCTTTTTTATGAAGTGACTGTTGCCCATTTTTCTATTAAGCTGTCTTTTTATGATTGATTTTATGAGTTATTTATGTATTTTGGATGCTGATTTTTAATATGAATTTTCCTGACCCACAGTAACCAAATTTGTCCAATGTTTTCTCCCAGAAATTGTAGAGTCTTACATCTTATGTTTTAATTTGTGGTATATCTGAGTTAATTTTTATATGATGTGAGGTGAAGGCCAAGCTTTGTTTATTTCTGTATCAGTATCCACCATTTGTTGACAAGATTATTTTTGCTTTTTGTCCACTGAATTACTTTGACACTTTTATTGAGAATCAGTTGGCTGTATATGTTTTGGAGCCAAGTTTTCAGCTTCTCATAGCAAAATTTAGGCTTAAACTAAAGAAAGCAGGGAAAACTACTAGGCCAATCAGGTATGACTTAAATCAAATCCCCTATGAATATTCAATGGAGGTGATGAATAGATTCAAGGGATTAGATCTAGTAAACAGTGTGCCTAAAAAACTGTTAACTGAAGCCCATAATATTGTACAGGAGGCAGAGAACAAAACCATCCCAAAGGAAAAAAAAAAGCAAGAAGACAAAGTGGTTATCTGAGGAGTCTTTGCAAACAGCTGAATAATGAAGAGAAGATAAAAACAAAGGAGAAAGGGAAAGGTATATCCAACTAAATGCAGAGTTCTAAAAAATAGCAAGGAGAGACAAGAAGACCTTCTTCACTGAACAGTGCATAAAAATAGAGGCAAACAGCAGAAAGGGAAAGACTATCTCTTTCCCCTTCTTCAAGATAATTGGAAATACAAGGGAATATTTCACCCAAATATGGGCACAATAAAAGACAAAAATGGTAGAGACCTAGTAGACACAGAAGAGATCAAGAAGAGATGGAAAGATTACACAGAAGAACTATACAGAAATGATCTTAATGAACCGGATAACTACAATGGTGTGGTCAGTCACCCAGAGCCAGACATTCTGGAGTGTGAAGTCAAGTGGGCCTTAGGAAGCATTGCTGTCAATCAAGCTAGTGGGTGTCATGGAATTCTAGTAGAGCTATTCAAAACCCTAAAAGATGATGCAATCAAAGTGTTTCACTCAATATTTCAGGAAAGCTGGAAGACCCAGCAGTGGCCACAGGACTGGAAAAGGTCAATCTTTATCCCAATTCCCAAGAAGGGAAGTACTAAAGAATGTTCAGAAACATCAGACAATTACACTCATTTCCCAAGCTAGAAAGGTAATGCTTAAAACCTTGCATGCTAGGCTTCATATTATGTGAACCAAGAACTTCCAGACATCCAAGGTGGGTTTAGAAAAGGCAGAGGAACCAGAGATTAAATTGTCAACATTCCCTGGATCATAAAGAAAGCAAGGGAATTCCAGAAAAACATTTACCTCCGACTGATCGACTATGCTAAAGCCTTTGACTGTGTAGAATATAACTGTGGAAAGCTGTTAAAGAGAAGGGAATACTAGACGATCGGTCTTACCTATCTCCTGAGAAACCTGTATATGGGTCAAGAAGCAACAGTTAGAACCACGTATGGAGCAACTGATTGGTTCAGGATTGAGAAAGGAGTAGGACAACGCTGTCTGCGGTCACCCTGTTTTTTGGCCTATATGCTGAACACATCATGAGAAATGCTGGGCTGGATGAGTTACAAGCTGGAACCAAGATAGGTGCAAGAAACATCAGCAACCTCAGATATGCAGATGATACCACTCTAATGGCAGAAATTGAAGAAGAACTAAAGAGCCTCTTGATGAGCATGAAGGAGGGGAATGAAATAGCTGGCTTAAAACTAAATATTAAATATGCCCTAAATTTTTTTTAGTTGGAATTTCATAAAGGTGTTTTTAAAAATGATTTTAAATGCCCCAAATTAGAGTGTTAACATTTTTATACATCAAATATGACATACTCAGAAAACCTATAGACATGCTAGGCCACAAAGCAAGTGTCAACAAATTTCAAGGAATAAAATCATA